TTTTCCACGCCACTTTCATCGTGAGGAGGAATAGCCTTGGTCTCCTGGGAAAAAGTATGAATAAAAAAAACATATGTATCTTACAGTATGCTGTTGCTTTTGACTCAAAAGAACGTTGAAAGCATTTTAGACGAAATGCATAGATTTCAACAGGAAAATACTTCATTAACCTACTTGGATTAGAAAATTTAAAAATTGAGGGAAGTTTTATAGAAGCCTTCCAACTCTTTCGTTTTGAAATATCTACTCCAAACAGATATGTGTACTACATAATAACAATATTAAAATTTAAGAATTTGTTTTCAATAAACAAAAAAACACAGTGAAAAATCTTTTTACTAAGTAAAACTTCATCGTATATACCTTATGCTTGGGCTCAGTTTCTCCAGTGAGTGAACTTTCATCAATCTGTAGAGAAAAAGCCTCCACAAGTCGAACATCAGCCGGTACGCGATCACCCGTATTCAATAAAACAATATCGCCTGGCACTAGTTCGCGAGCTAATAAAGGATGTTCCTTGCCGTCGCGAAGACTGAAAGAAGCTACAGTAAGTCATAAAGCATGTTTTCCAACAAAAAGATGGTGAAAGTAGGAACATACACATGACATGCAGGCGGGACTAGTTTATTTAATTGTTCCAACGTTTTTTCAGATCGATACTCCTGTAAAATTATGAAAAAAATGTAATTAATAGAGAAATTAGAATCAGGAAAGAAAGCTACCTGAACAAATCCTACGGTAACTACAATAACAACGGCTACAGTGATACTGATTGCATCATCAAATTGTCGCATCAAGAGCGATACGACTGCACTACCGAGTAGTAGAAGAATTAAGGGATTTTTAAACTGTAATAAAAAGTCTTAGCAAAGACATTTTGGAAATAGTAACTATAAAAGTGTTAAAAATCCTACTTGTTCTGTATATTTTTTCCATAATGGTTCTTGTTCGGAAACTTCAAATTCATTATACCCATGATATTGCCTCCGTAACGACGCTTCTGCAGTGGACAGACCTGAGTTCGCATCTGATCGTAACATATGTAAACAATGCTGAAATCAATAAATCACTGGTAATATGAAGAAAATAAGTAGAATAAAAGGGAAAAGGAAAAAAATTACCAGAGCTTCATGAGCAGAAGCATTTTCGGCGGTTAAAGTTTCAATCATGATATCCTGCTTCGTGCTCTTTGCTAAGGATGGAACCTTAATAACATAGATTTTATTGGTAATTGACAGTATGAAGCATACTGGAGCATTATTTTGCTTTAAACACTTAATCGCGTTATTTTCATCACTCTATTTATAGCCCTCCCTCCTCACAATGTAGGATTATTTACTACTGAACGGATATGAATTGGTCAATTAGTCTTCCCACAATGTGAAAGCAAGCGACGGAAGACTCAACCAACTAACGCCCCTTCTGTATTAGTCTTCCCCTATCTAACAGCATCACTGATCTGATCAGAAATATGTGGAATGAAGATATGTTCAAGTAAGAAACCTTAATTTCCCATGCAATATCCCAATTTGGTTTTTAGAAGAAGCGATAATTGTGAATAAATTACATTTTGTAAATAATGATTTACCAAAAAAATGAGTGGAATATAAGCGCTGTGTACATAATGATGTTATGCTCGGCGTCTTAACAGAGTTAGCATAGAACACTGTTCCCAATCAGTATGTATAACCCAATTACGGCAAAAGCTAACGGCATTAGATTCTATGTATGACCATGACACCTAAAGTTAAGAGAGATTCATCAAAACCTTCCTAAGAGTTGAAGTAACAAAGCGTGATTAACCGTTTG